ATATTATTATTATTATTATTATTATTATTATTATTATTATAAAATTATTATTAAAGCCCCTCAAGTAGTGCATTTCAGGCAACCATGATGACCAAGAAGCTTTCAAAACAACTCGGGGTTAAAGTTGTAAAAAGGCACACAACATTTCAAAGACCTATAATATCTCTTTGAGTATGGTAAACTTGATCATTAAGAGTAGAAGACACCCAGACACTACCTAGAACATGCTGCAAAGGGATACCCATGTGAGGCTAATGGAACCATTGTGTTCATTGGCTGAGATAAAAGAAAATGTTCTTATGTCAACAATATTCCAGTCAATCCACAAAAGGGCTTACATGGAACTGAAAAAAAAATCAAACCACACATGGCATTTGCAACAAAGCAACTACATGATATTGCAAGCATGAGGCAAAAGATTTTGTGATCATCTATGTGTGACAATACATGACATTACAATACAGAACGAGAAAAAGCCAAAAGACAATAGAATGGAGAGAGGAACCAAAAACTCCTCTGAAAGGAGAAAAAAAATCTCTAGGGGTCCAAGGTCAACTGGCTGCCCAACCTCTCTGGAAATGCTAAGATTATACAATTCTATAAAAAGTACCAAATGTGGAGTATTAGGTCTTCCATCATGTCCTTCTGTGTGCTGGTACTCCATCTCCACTGCAGATCTCTGTAGACCAGCAAATCCTCCTAAGCGATAGCTGTATTTGTGATGTCCCTCTTGGATCCATGATGCAGTGATGCAGCATCCAAGACAAGTGGGGAGGAGAAAAGGATAGTTTGGTCAGAACAGATGTATCTACCTGGAAGGCCAACACTGAGACACACAATGGCATGTACAGCAGCACCACCAGCCATAGTTGCATCGAGCTATGATGTAAGGTGTGAGTTTTCAGTCTGGATTTAAATCCTGAGATTGACTCGGCATCCTGTACGTAGGCTGGCAGACTATTCCATTAACTAGGAGCTCTGTAGCTAAAGGCTTTACCGCCAGCTGTTGAAGGTGCGATAGGTGCTTCCTCATAGCAGGGCATTATAGTAATCTAATCTGTTGTATACAAAAGCATGTATTAGTTTCTCTGTGTCTTGAGTGGAGAGAAAATACCTTAGTTTTGTCATATTTCTTAACTGTAGGAAGCAAGCCTTCAATACTGCATTAACAAAGAGTTAAATAAGAGTCTTGTTTCTAAGATGATGCCTAGGTTACGTGCCGAATCTTTCAGGCTAAATTTTAAACCCTCAGAGTTGAGTACTGAGGTTATAGCAGTCCTATCCACACTATTGCCTCCAAACAACAGAACCTCAGTTGAGTGACAAAATGTTTTCACACATCCAACACTTTACTTCATTAATACAGTTAGCTAAAGTGACGATTGACAAGTTGTCATTAGGTGTAAATGAAATGTATATTTGAGTATCATCAGCATAGGAATGAAAGTTAAGATAATGCTTTCGTATTATCCTACTTAGTGGCTACATGTACGGAGAGAACAATGCTGGTCCAAGCACTGATCCCTGTGGTACCCCAAATTTGACTTGTGACAGCGCCGAAGCAGTACAGATATTATATGTTTGAACATAGTGAAAACAGTTAGTTAAGTAGGAGGTAAACCACATCAGGACAGTTCCACATAGGCCAACCTAAGACACAAGCCTGTGTAGCAAAATACAATGGTTAACTGTATAAAGGCAACACTGAGATCTAGGAGCACAAGCACTGTTGCATTCCCTGCATCAGCTGCTAACAGAATATCATTTACAACTCTTGTTAATGCAGTTTCAGTGCTGTGGCCTGGGCGGAAACCAGATTTGAATTTTTCAAGTATATTATTTGAATCTAGATATGACTAAGTTGGATAAATTGGGCCGCAACTATTCTCTCAAGAATTTTAGATAAAAATTGAACATTTGAGATAGGTCTGTAGTTGTTAAGTACTTGTGGATCCAAATTTGATAGCAGTCTAACAACTTAAATGGGTCAGGTACAACACTTGATGCAAGAAATGTGTTCATCATACTATTTATAGGTCCCGCCAGTACTTCAAGAGAATCTTTAGCTAGTTGGGTGGGGATGGGATCTAGCGGACAGGTGGTTGACTTTGTCTTAATATTTTTTTTGTTCAGGTTCATTAACTAATTGAAAAAACACTGAAAACAATTCTTTGCAGCCTGTTTGATTGTGTTTGAAGTCTGATGTTGTTAATTTTATTGTTAAAGTAGTCCATGAAAATATCACTAATAAAGTTAACTGGTACTGTTGAATTATGGTGGTGGCAGCATTCTGCTTCTCATCAGCAAGGACTGGGAAGCTTGTCAAGACTGATGTGAACATATATGTACTGGCACACCCTAGAGGAAAACCTGCTTCAGACCTAAAACTGGGACAAAAATTCACCTTTCAGCAGGACAACGATTCAATGTATAAACCTAATGCTTTAATTTAATACACTGGATTGATTTAAGAATAAGAAAATGGATGTCCTTGAGTGACCTAGTCAAATTTTTGACTCAAATTCTATTGAGAATCTGTGGAAAAACCTAAAACTGCAGTCCACAAGCAATACGCAAGTACCTTGAGAGAACTACGACAAATTGTCCAGGAAGAATAGTCACAAATTACACCACATCATTGTGCAAAACTGGTACACACTTTATCCAAAATGATTTGCAGAATGACTGACAAAGGTGATTTCACCAAATATTTGGTAAATATTTAATCTAAATACTTAAATACTGCAATCAACATATTTCAGTTTTTTTCATTTTGAGCATTTAGGGTTTGAACAAAATATTAAGTTTTAATATATGGGTATGGATTTTTGTGTAATTTTACAAAATAGGGCATCATAGGCAGTGAATGAATACTTTTGCAAGGCACCATACTTAAAAATGTAGCTAGCAATGTAAGAGAAAATAGTATTCTTTCTCAATTTCTATTGGAATGCTTGTTTAAAAGTAATACATGTGAATGTTTCAATATAAGAGCCATTAAAATAGTATTGTATGTTATGTAACTTGAATGACTTTTACTACTTTCATGTTTGTAAATGATAGAAAATATACTGATTCAAAATGTTTTTACGGTATTCTTTGTATTGTCAAGACAGATTTACCTGTTTAGAGATTTATATTTTCATAATTGTTGTATTTCAATTTTGTTACAGAGTTGTATAATTAGAAATATTTGGAAATTATGTATGAAGCAATATAAAATAGTGTGTATGCATTGTTTGTTATGCATAATTTTAAAATAATAAAATGGTTGAAGTTCACTTTTTGTGTATTTTAAAGTACTGTTGTTGCCATGGTGGGGAGCTGGGCTGAAATTATACTTTAATTTCTGAAATAATCTTTTAAATTCTGAATTATCTTTCAAATTTTTGCTTACAAATATAGTACACAATTACACAACTAAGTTTACATAACCTTACAAAGAGTTTACCGATCTTTGTGCAAATACAGATGCAGCCACTCAGAACATGTGGTAATACTCATTATTATGGCATTAGAGGTGCTACAGCACAGCGTGGTGTACTTTGTTGTGTGGTTCACCGGCCAGAGACAATGGATTTGTGGCACTTATGGTGCATTAGATGTTAACACAGTTAGATGTTAGATGTACGTTAGATGATTTCTTAATTTAAACTGCTTCCCTATTGTACTTCTTTAAATCCACTTAAAATTGAATATTAATATTGAATTAAGTACCTAATGGAAATTTTAGTAGCTAACAATAAAAATAACAAGTATAAAGTATCTGAATGTCACAAACAATATTCATTTATTAATATAAATATGGTATACTTACTGTATAGATCTGGTAGTGGTTGTTGTACAAACAAGTTGTTGTAGTTTTATAAATCCACTTATTAGGGAATATTAATATGGAATCACATAACAAAAGTGACATTTTGGTAGCTAAAAATAAACATAACTGAAGTATAATAACATCTCTGAATGTCATTAGTGATATTCATTTCTGAGTAAAAATAATGAAAAATAATATACATATGTACAGTAGCAGGTAGTGGTAGCTAAAAATAAAAAATAAGTGACACAACAGGATTTCACATTCTTCATAAACATTTTCCACATCAAGGTCTTTAACTCAGTCACTTCCTCTAGTTATTTTAGAAAAGTCTTGATGTGCTCCTTTAACTACATCTGTTGTAATGGAAAATAAAATGTGAATTGGAGTGACACATTGGTGGCTGAGTGGTGTAATTCTGTTCTAAATCATGCGATAGGGTATGGGTTTGAGCCCAGTAAAAATCCAAGTTATCTTTTTAACAAATTCAAGTACAGTAGGTAGTTGTGCAGCATGCATAGGCTGCAAAGGAACAGGTAAAGGTCTATTCCAAGCTGAAAGGAAAACAGACACAACGTTTTGACTGTGGAGCCCTTTTCAGGTGGGGAAATTGGCAGTTAATGAAGCATGGGAGAACAAAAGACAGGGTAGGTGGGTGGAAGCAGGGAGTCGGGGAGAAGTTGTATCAACACTCTGAGAGTACTGGAAGAGAGGTGTGAAGTCAAAACCTGTAAATGAATGGAGAGGTTGCTCCCACCTGGAAGATTCAATGGCAGTCAAAGTATGCCAGTACACTCACCACTCATCAGCTATCAGTGGGGAGGAGAACAGAGATTAAGCCAAATTTAAAGATGAGATTATTAGGAGGCCATGATTGGTAAAGACCATGGGGAAATTTGGCCAGAACTATGTGATGTGATGTGATGTGATGGGGACCCCATGTCTTCAACATGTCCTTGGCCCAGGCCACTGTACCTAGCTGCTTCAAGACGACCACCATCGTGCCAGTACCGAAAAAATCAGCCCCCACATG